CTACGGACGTTCCGTAGTACTTGAGAACCCTGCACTTTCGATTCCACTCAGTGCATATGACTTTGCGGTGAATTTCAATGACGTCATCTTTGTCTCAGCGTATCAACGTCCCAGTGTATCAGCGTTTCAGTGTATCAGCGTTTATAAGACAACGTACCAGGAGCGGATCCAGGATTTGAAAGAGGGCGGTTTTCAAAATGTTCCAAAAAACGGTAAACCTAAAATGAAAGGGGATCCACCCCCAGGGAAATTTTGATTTCTAGATGGCCGGAATGAGCTTTCCCGACTTCTGATGTATCTTTTAATGACCTTTTATTTCTTCAAAATTCGAGGTTTCCCTCTTAAAAAAAGGTCAGGTGATTTTTATCTTATTCTTAGGCCATAGAGAAAAAAAAACAGACATAGGCAATATATTATTATATTCCATCAATATTGAGTAGGCATAGTTGAATACGTAGTCTTTCTTCCATGGATTAATGAACCGATTGGCCTGATGAACGCACTTTTTTCTTATATAAATTAGTACGACGTCGAACCGAAAACATTGTTTTTAATATTCTTTAATTACAAGCTAGTTGGGCTAAGCCTGATTTGTCCGATCTGCTACTGACTATGCCTTGGTAGGTTAGCATGCCTTTTGTAAGCCAGGACCAGTAGTGTTTTGTTGTTTCTTCACATAGTGACTGTTCGTTTGAACCCCCACTGGATCCGCCACTGCTTACAAACTGCAATCTTTGTGGTAAGAGAGGGTACAAATAAGAAATCACTGCATAAGATTGGTCTATTAACCAATATAAATTTATTTACACAATTACTCTCATTTACATTATTATAGTAAAGCAATGAAGCCCTTTTATTAAAATAACTGTATGTTATTTTAAAAACAAAAATAACACATCTTAGAACATAAACATCTTTAAATATCAAGGACATACAAATTAAAAAAATAAAAAAATAATAGATACTGTATGGTTGAGTAATATCGGCTATCAATATTTGCTCAACTACTGAATATACTGTGGTTGTTAGGCTATAAATCTTAAACCATAATATTCAATATTTGAATTGTTTACATTTAAATTAAGTTTGTGATAATATAAAGTGAAGCAACATCTCAAGAGATCTTCAAACTAAGTGGTAATTAATTCTAGGGTTTTCATAGTAAAAGAAGTTCTCAGTGGCGGATACAGAAACTGAAATAGAGGTGGTCCACGGAGGGACTCTCACATATAGACCAATTTATGGCACTTATTACGGCGGCAGGAAAAGGTACTCTCAGATATTAAATTTGAATATAATCTTTTTTTTCTCCATTTTTATTATAATTTTGAAAATAGTGCCCACCCTTTAATCCAGCACTACATAATATAGTGAAAACTTGTTTAAGAGTGTTCTACCTGTGTCTAATGGTAAGTTGGCCACTTAATTGATTCTTTTAAATGAGCAAATTCACTTTTTAAATTTTATTTTTGAAAACCCTTGAATATTCACTGTCTATTCACCCTTACTTAATCAGACCTTCTCTTATAAATCAAGTGGGTCATGTAGGCCAAATACTATCAAGGGCGTCAATTCGTGCTAGAAAGTTGGAGTATGAATGGGAAAAACAGGCCATATTTTATTAATTTTAAGGATAACAATTTATAACGAACATTATTTCCACACTACATTGAGATTCAAGAAGAGCAAACAGCTGGCCTGAACGCATTGGCGAAGATCTGTTCGTGTGCACTCGGCTCGGTGAAAAGTTGGTCGCTTCTGCCGAAGGCAAAATTATTCATGGAGATGATGACATAGACGTAGCCAGGATTCTGAAAGGGGGGAGCCGTTATGCAAATTAAGTAGGACCCCGGCGGGGTCAGGGGGCGAATCCCCCTGTGAAGTAGCGCACTCTAAACGTTCTTAGGGCTGTTTGAGAGGATAAAGTGAAAATTGCAATAGACGCAATATAAATAACCGCAAAAATATTTATATAATAAATCAACAGTGGCAGATCCAGAAATTGGAAAGAGAGGTGAACAAGGGAGGGACTTTCACAGACTGAGGAACCGCCCACCTCAGCCCCACCATGGTTGGGGCTGAGATAAGAAAATTTATGATTAGGGCAGATAGCCCTCTAGATGGTCGGAAATTACACTCTCGCACTCCAATTTAAATATATATATATATTTTTTTTCCCTTTAAAAATATGAAGGGAGGGGGCCTTGAATCCACCTCTGCTCAAAACATTCTTTATCCAGAATAGTCATAATCACGAAAAATGGACATGAAAAACCAGATCACATCCTAAAAACAAACAGCAGTCACTAAGACATACACCAGGAGCCGACTCGATCTAGTTTAATGTCATACCCAGGGAAGGGCCGAATATGACACAATGAGTAAAATTCATCATCATCACATCTCCATTATAGTGAAAATGAAACGCCAACAAATTTCTCATGATCTTTTAGCAAGGATCTACTTAATATTCAGGACAACTTAGGCCTAACTATAGCTTACTAAGCTTTAACTATATATACTATAATAATTATGATCAACAAATCACAACTTTTTTTCGCATTTAGCACAATTTTCTTCACTTTTTATTGGTATTAATATTATTATCAATTATTACCATCGTCATCATCATCATTGTTATTATTATTGCTATTAGTAGTAGTACAGTATTATTTAACAAAAATTTAAAGAAACTTGCAAAAGGATTAAAAACGAAATTGAACCACAGTATTGCATTTCTATCTAAAAAGACTGGCCAGAGATTTATGGATTTAGGCCTATGTGTTCTATTAGGCCTATGTATAACGTGTACTGATGCATATTTACAGGTTTTAGTATTCATTTTGAGTGATCCCAGGAAAGAATTTGTATTGGCTCAAGCATAAGCTTTAAAATTTTAACACTGTGTACAAAGGGGGGGGGGGAGGAGCCGCGGCTCCCACGGCTCCCCCGCCCTGGATACGTCCCTGGCTGATGAGCCGAGATTAAGAACAGCCACGGAATTTGGTCTGTACTGCTGCCTTTTAGAAGAGACAGACAGAAATTGCTGAATAATAGACGACAGGCTGAAAACAGGATGAAATTATTGTCCATCACTTAGAATCCTATCAAGAAGGAGCACTATTTCAACTTCATGGAGAAGATTTTGGAGAAGATTCTTGCTGAACAGGTGAAGGAAGACCACACGACCATGAAGAAAAATGGTACCTACTTCAGGGCCTCGTCCCCCCCCCCCCCCCCCCCCCCCCCCCCTTTTTTATTCCCTTTTGTTAATAAAAAAAAATAATAATAAAAAATAAAATTTAAGAAAATAAAAAATTAATTTCTTTTAAGAGGATCTAATCACCTCATATGAACTGTTTTGATTGTTCTCATAGTCAAAGTTACACTGTACTATATATTGTATTGTACAGTATATTTGTTAATTTGACATACTGTAAACCTTTTACACTTCATGGAAATTGAATTTTGATGATATCGTCCATCACGGTGGGGGAGTGTGCTGTTTATACCGGGATATAAACTTTTGAAGTACGCCCTCTCTCGTTGTAGTGGTTTTTTTTTTTATGGTTTCCCAAAAGGCAAATTCCTAATTTTTATCAGTTAAATGAATAATTTTGTGGATTTGATACCTGATGTGAGTTAACAAAGTTTGATTTTATCACCAAAGACCAGTGAAACCTTGTTCGTAATTTTCTAAAGTCTAGTAGTGCACAAACTTGTTCCCCTGTCCCCCACCAATCGATGCCTATGAACATTTAATTTACTCTGTTCAGAGGGAACTCATATTTGTGTATTATACATTTATTATATATGTAGTTACAGCTGATAGTGGCTCTTGATGGCATACTAAATCAATTCATTTTGAACTGAATGAATTCAGAATTTTTGACAGTACATCTAAAGGTACTTGCATTTAATGATGCATCTTTACACATATGGATCTATAGTGTGCAAGAGTGTAGACAAATAATCCAGAGTTGTGTTTAACTGACAGCAGGATGCTCAAAAGACTTTAACATACCCACACACATGCATTTGTGGAACAACATGTGTGCTTGTTCGACTTGACTTTGTTCTGATTGGTCAGTTTTTAAGTTTGATTGACAATTTGGTGAAGTCTATTAAAACTAAACATGTGTGCAGGTCACAATGACTTCAGTTTCATGTTTCTTTTCTTGGATGATGCATTTCTGGCTCCTTTTGCATTCACAGGTTTGCTGATATTGTTCATTTCTATGAAAAATATTGACAAAAAAAAACCATTACAAACTTCATGAAATTATAACAAACACTATATAAACACTGATATCAACATTTATACACTTATTTACTGTTAAGTTATAACTCTATTCAACTGCTATAATATAGTAATATTTGTTTTATCATAATACAACAAACAATAGATGTCATCTGTTTGGTAGATTTATTTTTAAGACCAATTAAAAAAAAAATAGTTTCTTGTCCTATTTTGGAAAAAAAAGAGAATGAGGGCACATTTCTTTTCTTTTTTTTACTCCGAGATGGCAAATCCAAGATGAGCAATGGGAAACAGCTACTACTTTCTCACTTTTACCAAGTAGCACTTGACATGATTCATACCATATGTATACCCCAACCACTAACAATCAATAGAGGAATTTTACTGATGTGAGTTAGACAGAATTTTGTACATTTTGTAAGATCAAGCAAATAAAAAGAAAATGGTGAGGCAGAGAAAATAGAAACTAGTATTTTTTTTTATTTGGCCTAACATTAGATATTTAAGCCTCTTAAAGATCATTGTCATCTGTTCAGTTATATATAAACGGCTAGGAGATGTATAAATATAATAAAAAAATAAATAAAAATAAAGTAAATACATAATAAATAAATATAAATGCATAATGCAGTATATACACAATATAACGCAAAAGTTTATCAGTATATAGAATCATGAGAAACTTCTTCCAAGGACAATGCAAATACTGTATGTATTTAGGTTTAAATCTCATATTCATGTTTAACACTGTATTCAGATTTAATTCTCATTCATCTTACCAGGTGGAAATGTAGCTGGAATTCTAGATTCATCAATATGTTGCTGAAGAGGCAGATTGGGATCCAGAGGAAGCCATGGAGGGCTGGTAGGACTGTAGTGGCCTAGTTTTTGTTTCTGATGATTGGCATGGAGGTCATAGCAACTCTTACCAGCAGCAGGATCTGTGCTTTGATAAATACAGGCATGGATATCTCTGGCATTGTGGGATAGCAGATACTGGCCTTCTGGGAGGCTACACCAAGGTAAGATAACACATTGAAAGGTAAAATTAATAACATCAATAAGAGTAATAAGAAAATCAACGATGATTTAATAAGGATAATGATAACGAGAATGATGACATAAATTATGGCATGTTCACACATATTGTAGACATTTTTTAATTGATATATTTATTTAATAAATTTTTGAACATAGAAAAATATAGCATTCAAGACAGTAAAATAGTTAAAACACATGATCATGATACAGTCTATTATTTCAATTATCATAATCACCATCACCAACATCATTATTAAACTATCATTACCACACTATAATCATTATCAGTATCATCGTTGCAGTCACCGTCACCATTGCCATCGTCATGTCACCACTATTGCTGCCATAACTGTGGTCACTGTTTTCATTTTTGATGTCATCACCATCATGTTCTATTATTTAGTTTCTGTCTAGGAAACACAATATAGTTTTCATTACCACAATCGCTATCATCGCCATAGTATCATCACCATCATCACAGCTTTAAGCCTTCATTCCACTGCCACTACCATTATCCATCATTATCTTTTGATCACTATTATCACCATAAGCTATTACAATCATCATTAACATGACTACCACCACTCTATCTCCATTAACATTATCACAATCCTCACCACCATTATGCCCATCCCTAACTATCACAATAGTCATATCATCACATCCATCCCCAAACTATCACCATAGTCATATCATCATATCAGTACACATCACTACTGTATATCATAAACCAACTATCACTCAATTTATATCACAATCATAATAACACTATTATCAACATTAAAATAAACAAATCAAATCTTTAAACATTGGAAATAGTTTTATTGTAATTTACTTTTTCTCTTACCAAGAAAGACTCTTTAGGCATGAATGCAACATTTTCATTGATTGCCCAGGGCTAGAAAATAGAAGAAAATAAAATAAAGGAAAATTGATTATAAATTAATATACTATTGAATATTTATTTTGGCCTTATAATAATAATTACAATGTCTGGCTCCATTATTTAATAGGGAAGGTTCAATAGTAAACCATCTCTCCCAGTGCTGAGTTGTGTCTCAAATGAGACAAAATTTATTTTTCGATTGCTTTGCCCATCTTATCAGAGGGCATTCCGGGAACATTGTATAGAAAACTCCTACTCCTATGCCTACACCAGTGTAGATGATGAACGTGAATTTCACTTACCTAAAGGGAACCAATGGATTTAGAATGGATTTCAAGTCAACATACTCCAGCTTCAAAAGTTCAGAGGTGATGACATTGATACGACCTAAAAATTAAGATAAATACTCACATTTAATTGCATGAAAATAGTAACAAAACTGATAAATTATAGGTGGGCAAAGTGAGGCCACATGTGACCTGAAGATTATTTTGTTGCGGTCCGCAAAATTAATTTAAAACCCTATGTGCGGTCCGCCAACCATCTTCGGCTAGAAAACCACTTTTTTTTTTTTTTGGCCCAACACTGATCATCTGTGACAAGTAATATTAGAAGTGAGCATAAATTGTTATAAAAACAGTCAAAAGTTATGGAAAATACCTCTAATAAGCTGAGCTCCTGGTGTAAGGAAAAGCTTTAACCATCCGCGACATACTTCACTGACTGTCAACTGCTCATGCCCAAATGCTGGTTGATACTCCAATTTTGGTTGAATATACAATGAAACATCCTAACCAGCAAACAAATAAAATTGTTATAAAATTGATGGTTGCACACATGCAAATGATTAGATTAGGAAAAATTTGGCGAGTTCGAGCAGCAGTAAGAATATCAAACTTTAGTGCAAGAACGGCTGAGTTCAGAACCTGCAAATGTTGTTTTTGCTTTGGTCTGTGGGTTACTTCATACAATGAAAAGTTAATTTTTATAAGTTAGTCCCTCGGTACTGTGTGCACAATATCACATGTCCAAAAAAGTGAGCTCAGTACCCTATTCCATAGCAGTGGTCAACGGCGGCGGAACGTTTTTGAAAATGGGGGGGGGGCCATTTCATAAGGTCCAGTATGCGAGCGAAGCAAGCCTCTAGGCTGGGGACCGCCAAGGGCCATCGGTGGCTACGGATATTTTACGAAGTTTGGTGAATTTTTATAAGTTATTCTATAGGCATCAAGCTACTGTAATATGATTTCATATTTGTTGCAATTTAGTGGCCGATCCAGGAATTCGAAATAGAAGAGCCCAGGGAGGGTACTTTCACAGATAGAAGATCTATACTACCTCAGGCCCACCATGGTTGTAGCTGAGGTAAGAAAATTTGTGATTATGGCACCTAGATGGCCGAAATTGCACTTCCAGACATAAAATTTGAATATAATTATCTCTATATCTCCATATTTTTAAAGGGGTAGGGGCGGGCCGGCTGGGTCCCATTGAATCTGCCACTGGGTACTTTAGCAGATGGAGAATCTGCCAATGGATTATTTATCATGATCCTTGATATGGGTTTCCCGATGAAAACTTCCCTTTTACCCTAGTGGATAAAAATTACCCTTCTATATAGCCCAACTGTGGCGGGTCCAGAAGTCGAAATAGAGGGGTTCCAGGAAGGGTCTTGCGTAAATCAAATGTCCACCCGCATAATTTTGGGGCTGAGGTAAGAAAAAATTATGATTATGGCACCTCTAGATGGCCGGAAATGGCACTCTAGGATTAAAAATTGAATACAACTTTTGTCTGTTTTCTCCATTTTTTTTTTTAATTTTGAAAAAAATAGGAGGATGGGGTCCCGTGTTGACAGGGTTCCCTATTGAATCTGCCACTGTTCAATATAACACTTGAAACAGCCTATCATTTTGTTTCACAAATGATTAATTCGTAATGTCAAGCGAATGATTTTTTATTCGAAAGATTTTTTTTTTACTCAATATAGTTTTCACAACCAATAACACATTAAGAGTTGCTCAACTCAAAAAGGGAACTTGTAATGTTCGTGAGAAAATGAAAAAAAAATCTATATTTTATAATAATAAATAGGTAAATTTATAAGGCGCAAATAAACAAGGTGTAAGCACCAAATAATAATAATAATAATAGCCCTAATAATAATATTAATACTAATAATAATAATAAATAATAATAATAAATAATAAAAATAAATAATAATAATAAAAATAATAATATTAATAATAATGACATTGCAGCGTTCGTAAAATGTTTGTCACTGGTGTTGGGAACAGTCACAAAAGTGGGGGGCCCCCAGTAGAAAAAGTGGCCCCAATGGGCCCCCCGCCGCCATTGGCAGTGGTGTACAGACTATGGTGGACAGCAGATGCCCAGGATTTTCAACAAATAACATAAATTACATTTAATATTTACTGCTTAAGCATCTATTATAATATTTAAATACTGTACTGCCGTAATTCAGGAATGGAGCAACATCATTGTTTTGTATGTTATATGGAACATATTATCTTAAAAATAAAGTTTTATTAATATATTAATTACATTAAAAATATAACATTGAGTTTATGGGTATCAGGTTCTGCTTTCTAACCTGATACTTCTAACTGAACATGTGTAGTTTTATAGACACTAACCTGTTGTGATTGTACTTTTGATCTGCCATCTGTAGAGGATTTTACGAGGATTTGGAATTTTCCAAAACTCCACAAACTGTAGGATGTTTCTCCATCCTCTGCATCATCACTTGAAGGTAATCGAGTCTGTCCAATATTATCAGCTTTGTGTTCATTAGTACTAAGTTTCTTCATGAATTCTTCTGATTGTCTTTGAACATCTCTTGGATCCAAACATTTGGCAGAATAAGCAAATACATCATCTTTTTGGGAATTATTCTGCTGTAGTTCTTGATGTATTGTTACATTTTCAGCACCTTGCTCTGAAAATTGCTTCAGGGGTACATGTACAGGATTACCTCTGTCCTTTTCATCTGGTGAAGCAGGGGTCAGTACCAAGCAATTTTCTTCCATTGATTCACAAACACCAGGCTCCTTAAAACTTGTTTCAGTGTTCTTTTCATCACTGTCCATCTTACATAAAAGGACATTTTTCTGAGATGTATCAGGTCTGTGAAGACCCTTCAGTCTTGTGCTTCTCCTTAATGGTGAAAATTTGTCCAATGTCTCATCAACATTGGTTCCATTAGGTTTAGTATTTTGGTTTACAATAGAATGACATTCATCACTACTATCTTTTTTCATTTCATGATCATCAAATTGTGTCTTTTTTCTATTCCTTGTTAAAACCCCACTGACATAGTTTCTGTTACAGATACTAACTGTGTCCCCTGTTAAGTGTGATTGATCCTTCTGGAATGTGTCCCCATCACCTTCATCATGGCTGCTTGAATCCTGAACTATCACCAGTTCATGTTCTGTATCACTGCTTTCACTAAATAATGTTTCTTTTGTACAAGTCTGCACACCAGATCTTTGATTTAATTTCTCTACTGATTTCTCCTGCTTTTCCTCACAAACACTTTCATCTTGAAACTTGGTATGAGGTAGATTGTCTTGGTTAACACATTTAGAACTACAAACAGAATGCTGAGAGTCCACACTGTTATTAGACAAATTTGGACCCTGAGAATCAATGAACTTGTTGGTAAAAGTCTCTTGAACTTCCACTACATTTACCGAATTATCATTTTGATGCTGTTCAATACTTTTGTACAATTCTTGTGATGTATGTTGCTGACATTTTGTGGCTTTCTGAATCTGCTCATTTGATGAGGTATTATTTCTCGTTGCCTTTTGTTTAATCTGAATCCCTTTTGGAAACAGCTTCTTTGAATTTCCAAAGCCGAAAGTCTCCAGAAGATCAATCTCAAGGTCATCTCCAAAATCACATTCCATTTCATTTGTTTTTAATTTCTTTGGTTGAGATGATGAAGTTAAATTCTCTGTAGTTTTTTGTTTCCCTGTTTTTTGTTCACTTTGTTCATTTTGTTTCATACTCACGTCATTCAAATGATGCTTCATAATCTGAGTGTGAAAGAGTGTATTTTGCTCTTTTGGAAGATATGTTTTTTTCAACAAAGGTGCATCTATCACAACAACTTTTTGGGTGGTTGAACCTTTCTCTGAAGAATAAAAAAGAAGCTGACATTTTATGATGTGATTTGGAAGGAATGTAGCATTTACAATTAATTCATTGAATTCAGAAATAAGAGAATATGCAAATGGTCATGATTTGTACTTCAATATTTTAATTTGATTATCCCTATTTGCACAACATGTGACATGAGTTTATACAGACTCTAAACTACAGATGCTATTCACAGGTCCTGGTAGATTTGTTTATAACAATTAGCAGCAGCAGCTACATAGGCTGCAATAAACTGTTTAAAATTGATTCAACCAATATAGTAACTGTAGATCATAATCTTAGGCGAGGTTTTTTAAATTTTTATAAATTAACAACTTAATAATAACGTTTGTTTCTAAATTAATCCAGTTCTGTATACTTTTGTCTACACTCACTTTGGTGGCGAATAGTGACTGGGATTTCCCACTGTTGATCATAGTTTGGCGGATGGTTGTCAAGCAATGTGAGAAGTGCTTCACTGGAAATGATAAAGTCTACTGGATTCTCAGCAACCAAGCCAGTTATCCTTGGATCAAGACTCAAATCCTTCATCAAAGTAGTAAAGTTTATTACTTAACAGATGTAGGCCCTACTAGGTTCTTTACAGCGCACGAACCAATTGTGGGCCTACGGCATATCAGACTTGCCATCCCAAAACCAGCACAATGTCGCTAATTGTAAAGCTGAGTAATCAGCATATAGAATGTGGTAGTATTGTATATTTTAGTACAGGGAATACATAATACTTTTTAACTCATAAATTTTGCAATAGTAAGTCTATTCCAGTAATAATGACCCATCATTTTAAAGCTTATATTGTAGTGAATATCAATATAAAAAAGCCAATTTTAACTTTTTTTGTTACTGATGCTGGTGCTGGCATGGCGAGCCCCATATCGTCCTTATCCAAGACAACTTTTTCCATCCCCAGAACCAGAGGCAAGTGTGCCACTCGAACAGGCACCAATATTATGGGTATAACCTCCAAAGAAAACCCTCAAAAGTCCAAAGAATCATTTCCAGTGGGGTCCTTTATTTTGGTGATTGAGCAGTACCCTGGGAGACAACCCTACTCCTTTCCGAAGATAGTACTTTGTTCTTTAACATACACATGAGCCACTGCACAGACCAACAGCTTAGAGTATTGTCTTATCCGAAGGCAATGCATTTTTTTATGCTTGAAATTCAACCCTCTATCTGAAACACTAGAACACTAGCAGAGTTCAGCACACACACACACACAGTGGCTACCACAAGTTCAGCCAAATGAGCTATGTTGCACTCCTGCCTTTAATAACTTGACTATTACCAAAAGATTTTAAATGTTTGTTTTAATTTTTCTATTTATATTTTTGTGTTTTGTAAGTATATAACCTGAAATAATATTAACAAACCTGATGATGGGATATGCATGTGATTTGGTCTAAAATGGCTTGGTTCTTCATAATACCTTTATAGCTTGATAAGCAAGGTTGATCAATGATCTTCCTCTTACCCTGTAAGTAAAAAAATAATATTACAATGGTTGAAATGTACAGCAAATATGCATTAATACTAACAAACCAAATAGGTCTTCTCATTGAAATCATGCAAATGTACCATTTTAAATGAATACATTTGATTAGTCAATGCTCAAATTGTATTCATCAAACAAAGTACAAATAAGACAGTATAATTACAGCTCCCATATAGGATCTGTGGTGTAATCGATAAAAATATGCTATCTATGTTTCACTATTCTTTTAACAAAATAAAAATCTATATGAATTGCTTACTTTAAATCAAGGGGTGGGTATACAATGGATTGGATGGCCAAAATAAACTTTTGATTTAAAACTAAGTGGTTTTCTAGTAAAGGATGGCAGACAGCCGCACACATAGAGTTGTGTTGGCTGCAACAAAATTGCTGTCGAGCTGCATTTTGCCTACATGTGCTTTAAATATTTAAGTTAGCCAACACCATTTTCAGAGGAGTGAAGAAAAAAAGAACTAAAATATTTTATTTTCTTATTTAGCAAAATGAATTTACCTAAAGCATTTAAAAGCAGATTGGATTCCTTATTGGTAGGGGAGGTTTTGCGAAACAAGGTATAAAAAAATGTTTCGCCAAATCAAGTAAAGATTTCTGTAAGAAAGGCTGTATCAACAGTCTGTAAACCTTTTCTTCTTATTCGAAAGAGAAAACCGACAACAGAAACAAAGGCAACAACACAAAAAGTGGCACAAAACAAGCAAGTATATCTTAACGATGTGACATACATTTCAGAATGTGAAATTACAAACCGTAATTATAAGATGTTTAATGAACTTCATGACGGCATCTGTTTTATACACTGCTCCAGCTCTTAAGCTAAGAGTTTGGTGAACTGTGTAGTAGCGTGGTACACCATATAAACGCTTTAGAGAATGTTCAAGGTATCTCTGCAAAAACCAGAGTTTCCAATTAATGTTTAAATATTAATATTATTACTATCATTGCCATCATTAAAGTAGTCATTAAAGTGGTAGTCATCCACTTCAATATTATTCTCATATTAGAATATATTGTAATATACTAAAATATAATAATTACAGAAAAATACTATTGAAGTGGATGCTTGGTGATTATTATAATCATTTTAATTCTACTATAATACAATAATACTAATAGGTATTAAAACTATTGTTATTATTAGAATTATTATGTCATTATAAATTGACATTATGATTATGATAATTATTAAAATAATCCTACTCTTGCTATTATTATTACCAATCCTATTATTATTATATCATTCTTCTATTCTTACTACTACAGTGTTGCTAATACAATTACTGAAGTTCTATTAGGATCAAAATTATTATATAGCTACATAAAGACAAATTAAAGCATTTTCTTTCATTATTCTTATATTATCATCATTCTCCTTACCACAACATTGTTCCAGCCATGCAGTGATCATCATCATCATTTTTCCTTTCTCTAATGAGTTACTGACCTTCATGTATTGACATTTGAACTTGTAAGTCAACACTAGTCTTTGGGGTAATCAATTGCAATTAAAATTATTGTTATATTATTAGAATTATTATATCATTATAACTTGACATTATGATTATAATTATTAAAATAATCCTACTCTGTATTATTGCTATTATTATTACCAATACTATTATTATTATATAATTCTTCTATTCTTACTACTACAGTGTTGCTACAGTTCTATTAAGACCAAAATTATTATATAGTTATGTATGCAAACACCATTAAAGCATTAAAACCTTAAATTAGGATTATTTTCATTATTATTATTTTATCATCACCACTATCATCATCCTCCTTACCACAACATTGTTGTACATCATTTTTCCGTTCTCTAATGAGTTACTGACCTTCATGAATTCATTGACCTTTGTACTTGTGAATGAATAGTCTTCGGGGTGGTCAATTGCAATTGATCGCAAGTAGCTCATGAATTCTTCTTGTTCTTGACCCACCTGCATCTGTAATTTCTTCAATAAAACATTAATCAAATGAGCATATTTTCACACGACATGATGCATTATGAATGTTATTGTAAGTGAATAAAAATTCAAACCACCTTTTAGCTAACAATATGATGCTCAGCCAAATATGCTAGATTGCTTCAGTTGGTATTGAATGTTCCATACACAGCACTTTCTATAAACCTGCGGACACAGCAGTGTCAAATTAATATTACCATTAGAGCTAGGCACTACCAATTGACTGGCCATCAATTCTGCTATATTTGTCAACACAAGGACTGTCATTTTTGTTAGGAACAGACCACGAAGACAGACACAGAAAAAAGCACTGCTAGGGCCTAGACAATCAAAAGAAATTTGGTTTTTTAAAATTTAAGGATGAGAACTGCCATTACAGTTAGCGAATACCAGCTATAAGGACTGCCATTAGTGTTAAGAAGTACCAGACCACAAGGCACTAGTAGGCCTAGACCATGAGGACTGACTGCCATTTTCTACTTTTTAGGCATAAACACATTATGAAAAAAAAAACTTTTCCAACCGACCTACCTATTTTTGGGATTTTCCCAAAACATGACCAACACTAGAATTTGGTTTTTTTTTTTGGTCTTACTCTTAGGGACCACAAAGAAACAGAACTGGACTATCAGGACTGCCATTAGTGTTAGGCACTATTAGACCACAAGGATGGCAATTAGTGTTAAATGCACTATCAGAGCACAAGGACTATCATTGACATTAGTGTTATTAGTACCACTTTCTCAACATAGTGAAATTTTTACCTTGAAATGCTCTATATTATTTAGATCTTGTTTAGATGAAAGCTGAGGTACATATGTTGAGAACTTGTGATACAATTCTAGATACTTCTGCTGTTGTGACCAAGTTAAAGATGACTTCCTGGGGAATGGATACCCCAGCTTTGGACTCTTCAATTTAGGGTCTGTCTCCAATCTTATGGGGAAAAAATGAAAGTACTGTAAAGCAATAAAGAACCACTAGATTCTTGGGAAAAAAAATCAAAGAAACTGAATTTTAATAAAGTCATAATGATGATGTTGACGATGATATTGGTGATAAAGACAATGATTGTGATGATGATGATGACAATAATGGCGATAAGGATGACGACATGCTGATACATACTGGTGATGATATGGGGCTTGCCATGCCAAAACCAACATTAGTGACCAAACAAAAAAGTTTACTTTATAATATACTGATAGGTCATTTACTGGAATCAACTTACAATTGCTAAAGTTATAAGTAAAAGTATTACAGCTTCTCTGTACTGAAGTACTGTATACAATACTGCCACAATATGCTAATTAATTTTAACATGCAGTGACAGTACACTGGTATATATTAACATGTATCAGTGCCACATACTCTATATTGAATATAGTAGATATATAGCAAATGAGTGTGTATTTTATAGTTAATGATTAAAATGATAATGAAGATGACTGATGATTATTATTGACAAGGATGATTATAATGATGGTGAACATGATGGTAATGGTAATGGATGCAGTAGACTTGTACGCATAATACTAGGTCTCTACGCACTTTTAACAATGTCCAAGTTGAATAAAAGAAACAAATAAGATAAAGAGGAGACACAAAAAAACAAAAACCATCAACAAAAAATAAAACGATGATGATGATAATAAATGATGGCAGATAACAAAGACCTTTTAAAATACATACCCTTGATGAATGTTAACATTTGATAATTTGGAGTCTTCTAAAAATCTCTCCAGTGATGGTTTTAAAGACAGTCTGTTATAACTTTCTTCTGTAAAGAATGGTCTTGAGTCTTGTGGTAGATTTAAACAGAATCTGTTAAAAAGGAACAATAGAATTGTATTGGTAAATAGCACATGAGGAATGAGTAACTCCTTAAAAAAAAGTTAAAGAAATGTTTGTGGATATTATTATTCATCTGGGTTGGTTATTAGTAACAAATAATATAAAAATTCTACTCGATATACTTTCTTTATGGGGGAGACTTTCATGCAAAGTTCACATTCTCAGTGAACTGATGGATCCTTATGTTTGACGCAAATCGCCTCTTTCACCCCACCCACCAATCTACTTTCCTTATCAAAAATTACTTCATCCTTTTTCATGAATGAATGGAACGCGCTGTCCACAGGGCTGGCAGAACGTTTTCCAAAGTGGGGAGGCCCACCAGTAAGATGAAAAGATGAATAAGAATATGAATTGCGAGGGAGCCGATCATACAAAAATCTGAATAGACATTATACATTTTCTGCCAAAAAAGTGGGGGGGGGGGCAGGGTTCCACCTGCCATGGTCCAAATGTGTGAAGACCACTGAATCTGCACATCCTGAACTTGCTCCATGATATTGGTGCACATAGAAACTGTTTCGTTTTTTCTATGTACAACTAATGATATTCAGGGTCTTGCCATTGAATTGCATAACAACTTTGCTTTGTTTTTCCTTATGCTGCAGGGGGTATAGGGAAAATGTAACCAAAAAAATCATAATGAAAAAGTCATTCGTTCTGGGCCTTAGACATACTTATATAGGTCTATGTCTATGATACATTTCCTTAGTGTTTTTGTCTTTTTCCACATGTCAGTAATTAAGCAAAATTTTGATAGAACTTGAGAACTCTGGATCAGTGACAACTGTGTGTTCGCAGAACCATGAAGATCTTTACACAATGTTGGCAGACAATTTGGAACTTTTTAAAATATATAAAAAATAAATAACACTTTAAAATATAAACAAAATTAAGCATCTAAATAAGTTGTTATACGTATGTGTAAAAAAAAAAAAAAACCGCAAATAAACATTAGAACTGGGAAAAAGAGCCCATGGCAGTATTCGATTTGGTCTAGGCACTGATGCCGTTTTGGTTTATTGCCGTTTTAACCTGCCCAGTGCAGTGGCGGCTATATAATTTATGGGGGGGGG